GATCCTATCCCCACTCACCTCCTTCAGGCCATTTCTTCTTTAGTTATACCTGCGCTCACTCACATAATCAACACCTCTCTTCACACTGGTACATTTCCCACAGCATTTAAGCAGGCTCGGGTAACCCCACTGCTTAAGAAACCCTCTCTAAATCCAGCACTTTTAGAAAACCACAGACCGGTGTCCCTTCTTCCATTCATTGCAAAAACACTTGAGTGAGTTGTGTTCAACCAACTCTCTATGATTCTCGCACAGAACAACCTCCTGGACAACAACCAATCTGGCTTCAAAAGCAGCCACTCAACTGAGACTGCCCTGCTCTCGGTTACTGAAGCCCTGAGACTGGCAAGAGCAGCTTCCAAATCCTCAGTACTCATCTTGCTGGATCTGTCTGCTGCTTTTGACACAGTTAACCACCAGATCCTCCTGTCCACCCTCATTAAGATGGGCATCTCAGGAACCACACTCCAGTGGTTCAAGTTTTACCTCTCAGGTAGGTTCTTCAGGGTGTCTTGGAGGGGTGAGGTTTCTAAGTCACAACTTCTTGCTACTGGGGTTCCTCAGGGCTCAGTGCTTGGACCACTTCTCTTCTCCATTTACATGTCATCATTAGGATCTGTCATTCAGAAACATGGCTTTTCCTATCACTGCAATGCTGATGACACTCAACTCTACTTCTCATTCAGAATCAGAATCAGAATCAGAATCAGAATGAGCTTTATTGCCAGGTATGTTTACACATACGAGGAATTTGTTTTCGTGACAGAAGCTTCCACAGTGTAACAGAATGACAGTGACAGAACAAAAAACACAGATAATAAAAAATAGAACAAGTAAATAAGGAATAAAAATATATAAATTGACAGTTGTATGTGCAGGTATATTACAATAGACAGTTTTTGTATGTACAGGTACTGTATATTATGTGCAAATTTCAGGTGTAGACTGAGTATGAGTGTTAGATAAATAAGTGTATGAGTGAATAAATAGTGTGTGTTCCACAGTTATTGTTAAGTGTTCATGAGATGGATGTCCAACCAGATGATCCGATGGTAGCTGTTCGCATTGCAGCCTCCCTGACAGACATTTCTGACTGGATGAAGGACCATCACCTTCAACTCAACCTTGCTAAGACCGAACTGCTTGTGGTCTCAGCCTACCCAGCACTTCATCACAACTTCTCTATACAGCTAGGTTTGCCAACCATAACTCCTTTTAGGACAGCCAGGAACCTTGGAGTTGTGATCAATGAGCAGTTAAGCTTCACAGACCATATTGCTACAACGGCCCAGTCCTGCAGATTTGCCTTATACAACATTAGGAAGATTAGAGCCTTCCTATCAGAGCAGGCCACACAACTCCTCGTCCAAGCTCTTGTTCTCTCCAGACTGGACTATTGTAATGCCCTCTTGGCGGGCCTTCCGGCTTGTACTATCATACCTCTGCAACCGATCCAGAATGCAGCAACGAAATTGGTCTTTCACAAGCCGATGAAAGCCCACGTCACACCTCTCTTCATCAGTTTACACTGGCTGCCAATAGCTGCTTGCATCAAATTCAAGGTACTGATGTTTGCCTACAAGACAACCACTGGCTCTGCACCAATATACCTAAACTCGCTAGTTCAGACTCATGCGCCCTCCAGAAGCTTGCGTTCTGCAAGTGAACGACACCTCGTGGTGCCATCCCAAAGAGGCTCAAAATCACAAAGGATTTTAACTTTATTCAGCATTCCAATCAATTGAATATCTTACAATTTTATATTTTATAAAAAATTAGAATGTAATATTTCAGACACAACTTTCTGTGTTTAAAAAAAACACATCAGTGCATTAATGAAGCTGACATTATTATATTGCGACAGTGCTCTGCAGGTTGTCGAGTTTGCACTATTGCAGTAGACTTTGATTTTATTGGTTAATTCATAGACGGCAAATGTACAGGGATTTTACTGTTCGCATTGCTGATCTGTGTCACAATACTTGGATCAAGTACAAAAGATACAAGGTTAAAGATAAAACAATACTTGATAGGCAAGCGGATAACTGAAACAGATAAACAGCTGACTTATCAAGTAGTTAGTGATGGAAAGTGCTTTAGCAAGTAGTAAATGGGTTTATTTACAGGATATTTGGCTCCTAAAAAGTTAATTTTGAAGCTGAGAGAACAGTCTTTGCAAACAAATTGCCTGGTAATGACGTAGGACTTGTTGACTGAGACAGCATGGTGTTATGTGTGTGCCAAGTATCTCCAGTACTGGGCCGATCAGAGAACACTGGCGTATGATTGGACGTCTGCGCTTACACCTTCTAAACGTCAGTGGTGGAGAGACATGGCATTTCATTCAGGACACATCGCTGTGTTACAGCCGTGAACTCTGAACAACAGCACAGACTTCAAACACAAGGCCTCAGTCAAATGTATGCAAATAACAGAGTCTCACAGCTGTACTGGCCTCTAGTGGTCATTACACTCAACAACAGCCACATTCAGCATGACCAAGCAGAAAATTCTAATTAGAATCTTAAAACATTATTTGAATTTTTTTTAATGTTCTTATACTACTACTACTATGTGATTTTTAATTTGAAATCTCATATCAAATAAACAAAAATAATAAAATAATAAAGAAATAATAAAACGTAATAAAAATGTAAATAATAATA